AAGAGCCACCCACCCCAGAAAAAGAGACGCGGCAGAATAGGTGGTCAAGAAAACGGATTGAGGATCTTCTGCTTCTGACTCTTTCTCTTCTCCTTCCGTCCGCCGCGCGGCTCTGAAACCGACACACCCTTCTCACCCTGCGAGTCACCGCCCGCACCTTCCCAATGTCCCGGCGCCGGGCATCCTTCGCTCGAGTCACCTGAGGCGGCATCGGATGGCTGGGCGTCGGTCGTTGGGTTGACTTTCGGACCACTTGTGATGCAGAGTTGAGTCTTGCCAACGGATCTTGGGTCTTGACATGTCATATATGTCTGGTTCACAAACAAATAAACTGTTTAGGTCCTTGTCTTGTGATATAGTACTCATGTCACTGGTTTCAAACCAACTCTTGGATCATCGTTGTGTTGTCCCTCAGCGGGTCGTTCACACCGAGCCAAGCCGATGCTTGATCCGATGCGGAGGGTCGGCACTGGTGATCACTTGTTCCAATCGAAAACGAAAACGATCAGACGATCAGACGACCCTCCGCCTCCTTCGTTTTCGAAACGAACACTTGTTCCACTTGTTCGAAACGAACACTTGTTCCACTTGGTTCCACTCCCCCGAACTCCATCCCCATAGTTCACTTCCGACGATCAGACGACTTTCTGGGACTGTCTCATTCTTCCCTGCCTTTTCCCGAAAAAAAAGAAAAACACACCGCGCCATCAGCTGCCAGTTGTGGAGGCACTCCAACCTGCAGCGGGGAGTGATCAAGCCATCATGTCCAGCTGGAAATCATGCTAAGCTGCTAAATGGGATGTCCAAATAAACAGGCGCTTTCCGCCCACCTTGGGGGATACTTGGGCTTTTCTGAAGAAAAAGGAAGACTCATCACACTTTTCAGATGGCCACCCAAAGGATAGAACAACAGGGGGACTCGTCAAACGCGGAAACAGCGTTTGGATCGTGCACGGGTGGGCGCCGAGCGAAGGTCTGGTTGCTCGGCACCCATGGGTTTGACCCGTTCTGGGCCTCCAAACGGGGTGAAAACCATATGGTGTCCTCCAGATGCTCCCTTAAACCAATCCATTTCAATCTCATGTCCCACCGCATCAAGAGGCAATCTTCATCGTCCACTCCTTCTTTGGGCTTTCTTGGGTGGCAATTGGTGGCGAACCGGGCGTGAAATGAGTTCAAAAAGGTTGAAAGAGAACATCGGCGCCAAGGAACCATCTTTTCCACCGTCCAAATCATCCAAATTCATCGAATTTGACACATGATGGCTCCACTCAAGTCAACGCTAGCGGCTTAGGTCACGGATAGCGAGAATGTAAAGAATAAAAGCTCCAATAAGATCAATAAGATTCAATAGGACATTGGCTCGCTCAAGTCTTTTGAATGGTGGATACATGTGGATACATGCGGACCTCCGGCGCAGGCTTTTCGGCGCCCCCGCATGAGAAACGAGGACTCGGAGTCGGCAGCGGCCGCAGCGGTCTGCAACGATGTAAATAGCTGAGGGAAGGGCACGGGAAGGGCGCGGGACAAATAAACGAACTGGTCCAAGGGAATCAGAACTGTGAACTCCGGACTGCAGGGGGGACTCTCGATCCATGTCTGTCCATTTTACCTCAACTGGACCGAAACGGGGTACCGAGGTACCAAAAGAACCACATGCAACGAAACCATGTCCTGTCCAGACTCTCTCGATCTCAGTTTCGATCCACCGCACGACCCATTTGCACATACTGGCACAAATCCGGTCGTGTTGGAAAGCTAGCAAAGCAGCCTTCAGTGGCCTGAAAGCAGGAGTTTGTGGGTGTTTTGCAGTCCTCCTTTCATATCGAACTAGACACCAACCGAACTCATTCCATTCATCTCAACCAAGGCCTTCCCCTTCAGCGCGAGCTCTTTGGCCTTGACCGCGGCACCCAAACCCCACAGGTCTGTGGGATGGAGGATGTGGGGGACCTCATGGGTGTGTGACGGGATGTTCGAGAAGGCAAAGAGTGTGTCTCATTGGTTCAGAGCCAGCTGCAAAGTTTGATGGTACCTTTGCAACAATCCTGGTGAGTTCGCGGACGATCTGTTCTCCACTGCGTTTCCTTCCCCAAAAAAAACCTATATATATATATATCCTGCTATCAAACCTATCAAGCCTCAGTACCGGTCAGCCTGTTTGCAGGGACGAGGGAACCCGATCTGTCATGGTGTTATTCCTTCTCTAGAAGACATACCCTGCGAGTCCAAGACTAGGTTTTTTTAATTGTCTCTAGAGCCCAACAAGAACTTCCTTTACTTCAGTGAGCAACAAAAAGTCTTTAGACTTCTAGGGCATATGATCTCAGAGGTTTCCAGAGGTTTCCGGTCCAAAAACGGGTCGCAGGTCAGGTATCTAGGAAGATAGAAAGGAACACTCCTAACCCCCACAACAAAACAGTGCCAACCTCCACACTGCTAGTAGCTTTCCTAGACTCTCCTTTGAAGCTCTTCATTTCAAGTCCACCTCCAGATCTACCAACCAACCACGTGCGATGGAAGAATGACCAGCTGCTCCGGAAAATCCACAACCGAGAGGCTCTGCGAAAGGCCCGCTTCCAAGCCTTGGGAATGGTCTGAGCTGCTGACACCGAGTACCAAGGTTGGGCCAGGCGGCTTCAAGGGTCCCCTCTTGCAATCCAGGATACAGAAACAATCACATGTATACTGTATAATATAACGATTTATATCATGTATATTCTTCATCAGCCAATCCACCCATCATCTGGCGCTAAAAATTAAAATATGATATGCAGCATATCACTTTCACTGGTTGGTCTTCTGAGGACCCCACCAACAGAGCACGCTGCAAGTGCAACCGTTGATCCTTCGTGATCAACGTGAAGGCCTGGCGCGGTGTCCACCGGGGCGTCGACACCGCGGTGGAAGAAGGCGTCGACCGTGCCCAGCGGGTGTTGGATGCCCTATGCGGACTGGGCCCGACCCGAGTGCGCCAAATTAAATAGTCTCCTTACTCTTGGTACCCCAGGTTTGGTATGTAAATCCGGGATCAACGTTCGTCCACCCTCCGTGACCTTCCGTGACCTAAGAGATGGCAAGCCTCTCAGGTTCGAACCGTTGGACCGTGAAGCAACAAGGGCCTTAAGGGTGCTTCCGTATACCAATCCTGGTCTCCCAGTTCGGACCAAATCACCGTCCAGGGTCCATCGCAGCTCGCGCCCATCCTGGCACGCCCATCAGTACTCCCGGCCTTGCTCCGTGTGGTCCTTGCTCTTCGTGCCTGGTAATGGAATCGCTGCAGGCAATGGAGTTGAGGCAGCGGATCCATCAGAATTCCTCCCACAAAATTAGAATTCTGGACTTCATAACTCGTGGATGAATTCTGGGCTAAGTGTGCCACCGGGCAACCTGAAGAAACCGACCCCTGGGCCTACCCAACCCCTCGGAACCTTCTTAGAAGGGTGGGCGCTCTCCCTCTCCAGCCCTCTTCCCCCCTCCAAGCTGCCAGAGCCTTGCGGCGCCAAAGCACGAAGTGGCGGCTCAAGAGGACCTCCTTGCCACGTGGCAAAAGGCGTCCGAAGCGCTGGCTGACTCGAAGTGGCTGGAGAGGCCTCCCCCCATCCTAACCACCTCCAGGAGTCCTCCCAGTGGGATCAAAGAACAGACCTGAACCAACAGCCGAAGACTAGACACGCGGAAGTACAGCCACAGACTCATGCAAATGCAAATCAGCTTCTTGGTCTTGTTCCTTCCCCGAGGAGCCTGGATGACAGTGCTCTGTGGTCCCTCCATTCTATGCTTCAGGGTAGAAACCGAATCCAGCAGCCTACGGAAAGCTTTTTTGACCTCAGTATCCAACCCAACGAATCTATTCAGGATCAGTCTTGTCATCGTAAGCAGCGATTGCCCTGAGTAATGTCCAACATACTTCTGAAGGGTGGGAGGGCATTTGTCTACTAGTCTGTCTCCAGATCCCAGTCACATGGTCTGGCGAGCCGCAGCCTCGGTCTCTCCCATCATGGCGCAAACGATCTGTTCCAAGTCCTGCACAAATGGGTTACTGCCAACGGCCAGTTCTTGGTGACCATCGGTGTTGGGTGGTGCTTTTTAGATACAAACAAGATAAAGTGACCACTGCAAAAGGGGTGGAAAGCGATAAGGCAAATAAGGTGAACAAGTTGGACAAATAGATGAGTGGGATGGACAGCTACATTTATGTGTGTGACCACTGTGTGTATATAAGATTAGAAGGGTGCAACACAAAGATCGTTGAGACTTCACGGGTGCAGCTGCTGAGCTTGCGGGGTCAACTCACCCTGCGACCTCCAAAATGTGTGTCGGACAGTTTCACCATGTTTCACCAACCGAACTGATGGGGTTTCAATGACCTCAGTCAGAGCGAAGTTGTGCTCAACTACCATGCCAAGTCTTACATCCTAAACATGTTGACTCTACGACAAGAGCATGAAAATGGGTCGTGCAAAAAGTATCTTGGAACATTCTTCTTATTCCGCAGAACACCCGGCGGGATGTCATAGGCTTCCCTGACTCTTAACCTCTGGAGGTTGGACCAACAAACCTTCCAAGTTTTCACGTGCAAAACCCTCTCTCTTTCGCCCCCGGGTCACCCCCCACCATTCGGACTCTTTTGGATGCCCCTCGCGTGGCGGGGCCCAGTCGCCGATCGGCTACGCGTGGTTGAGACTCATGGCTCTGCAACCACCCGATCGCCAAGGGTCGTCATCACTCCGCCGCGGTTGGGAGTCGAACTAATGGCTCCGACAGCTGCCGGGCTGTTCGTTGGGAGGTCTGGATCACCAAACGTGCGTGGATCATGGAACCCCAAATAGCCAAGATGATGCAATTCTGAGTCCTTCCAGAGGGCCTTCCACCTGCGGTCTTCATTATGAGCGAGGTTGGACTTGTGAAATCCATTGTGGATTCCAGCCAAGTATGGAACCACTCCAAACATGTGACCAGTGCAGTTCCATGAAGATCACGCCCCCACCATGCTCAGATCACGCCCCCACCATGCTGCCTGGCACAACTTGCTCTGATGGATTGTCTATGTCATGCGTGGGCATGGGGGGAGAGGGAAAGGACAAACCCGAAACAAACACCTGTTGGAGGCTCCTGGTAGAGATGAGTCAATTGAAGACCTCTCAGGATCCGCAGGAATTTTCAAGAGTCAACTGTCAAGTTGCCTTCGTGAGGGGGAACTTTCAGGCCACCACGTGCATTCTTTTTGCACACATATAGACACAGACACAGACATACTAAGATATGCGGCCGGTGCGTTGAGATTCGCCAATCATCGCTGAAGAAAAAGACTATAGACTGGACCCTTCAGCCGCCCCCACCTCAGCATCCCGGGTCGTTGCAACGGTCTCTGCTGCCACCCACGTCTCTGCTTGACCGAAGAAACGGGGTTTCGGCATCCACCGGGCATCCCCGGCAACCGGCCGGTGTCGATCAGGCCAGCGGAATCTAGGCGATGAAAGGCGGTGGAAACAGAAGACATCTTGGGGGGGCATCCTTTCTGAAACAAAAATAATAATAACAAGAACATACAAGAACTCGTGATGCAGGGCAATATGGGGCAATGCAAGAGTGTCATGCTTCCTTCCCACTGTTGGAAAAACCAGTCGTGATGATACCTCCAGGTCATCCCCCCCAAGCGGTGACTCCCCAACTCGCGCCTTGCCGCCGCAGCACGTGCTCCCGCAGCTCGGGATCCACGAAAGCACGGAAGGCCTGCGAAAGCACGTGTGGTCGCAGAGGCAGGCAAACGCGTGGGTTGGATGCGGATGATATGGCTTTTCCAATCTTTTCCAGCATAAACAGCAGATGATGAGATTAGAGCTCCTACTTCAACTTGTGCGTCATCTGCAAATGTTGGGATTCCTTTCTGGCCATACACATGTACCAACAGATCTGGCTGGGGAGTGCGTGCTGCAGAAGTACGTAGTTCAATGTAGATACAGTACTGTAGCTATGTCCAATATGTTCATGTATGTTCCAAATATGTTCCCAATGATCCGTTGCAGCCAACAAATACCTACAACATCCTACAGCAGCATCGTACAACCATCTCTGTCACTGAGTCCTACGAACAGCTCTGTCCCCGTGTCTAACGTGTCCCTTCATGTTGGACACGACCCAACCCGACCCGACTCCACCGACCCCGGCGAAACCAAACTCACCGGCACGGCCGTGACGCGTGACGTTTGCGCGCGCCTTCATGTGCTCGCCCGAGCTGGGGCCGAAGTGGGTCGCCGTGTAGCCGCTGAAGACGCCGCGCGTCTCGAACTCGTAGTACATGGCGTACCTGGCGCGCTGGCCGGCCAGCCCCGCGCGTACGTGAGCGCGTTCGAGTGGAGCAGGGGGAGTGGCGGCATGGGGGAGAGAAGAAAAAGGACAAAAACAGCGGAAGAAGTCGGAATGATCAACGTCAAAGGGATGGGTCGAGTTCGTCTCCAGCTTGCTAGTCTGCGCGTCAAAGGGATGTCGTCTCCCGGGTCTTCCAGGGGCCCTCTCAGAGGTAACCAAGTGGTGTTTTCTTCTGGGAAGCTTGGGCGTGAGAAGACTGGAATTTCCACCTGCAAGCAACGGGATTTGGAATGCTGAGACAAGTTCAGTTGCCTCTTGGGTTGGCAATGTCATTTTGCTGAGTATATTAGTGCGGTAGGGCTATCCAGGACTATCCACCACTATCCCTCCACCCCCCTCTCCACTCTCAGGTCCCCAAAGCACCTGTCTTTCCTCCCATGGTGCTCAATGCCCCGATGCTCGCAGAAGGAGTCATAAAGCACCACCTGAGCCGCTCAAGAGCCAAAACATTTTGGAACCTCCCGCGGGACGGCGCTCTGCCCGGAATTCCAATCTCACTCACCTCATGTCCTCTGCATGGAAAACGCTCGTCTGGCAGGACTCTGCGTGGCGCAGCCTATCTGCCCATCCCACACAATGTGCTGCGACACGGGAGGTGTGTCGGAACCGGATCGCTGTGGGATGCTGTGGGTGGGGGGGAATCTGGTTCAACCGTGTCCAATGCGCTTTCTTGTTTCTTGTCTCTTGGTTCACAGAGGCATCGTAGATCAGATTCTCCGAACCACTTCATCATAGTACCCTCAGGGGATTCCCGACCGTGTGCCCACGCGGACCCGCGCGGGACCCGCCGACCGGAGCCTCCCAGCGAAGCTTCCAAGGATCGCTACGTTCCTCCAACCCGTCGAGGCACCGAACCGAGGGGAGGATTCGCCACCACCTCAAAGCCAGGCATCAGCATGCGATGGGAGCCCGGCACATAGGCTAACCTCGCACCGGGTCGCGATGACAAACGCGGGGAGTTGAAAAAATGTGCGTCTATACAGAATACAGATTCCATGTTGTTATATTTTATATGCTCACATATGCTCACTGGTTGGGCGCTACATATATGAATTGTTGGAGGACAATTGCAATCAGTAGTTCCACCCTGAAGCCGCCAGGCTGGTAGTTTCTCAAATCACCGACCTGGGAGAAAACAGTGTGCGTGAAAAAGGATGGTCTAGAAGCCAGACCAATTTGCCAAGATGTTTTGATGTCTACTTCGATTCATAGACTGCTTGCCAATGGATAAGCCTTTGTTTATGATGTCTGGTTACTTCAATTTGCCAATTGCCAATGTTCCTTTGTTTATGATATCTATACTTTGATGATCTTTGATTCATAGGCTATTCACAGGGATTGAGATGAGAGTATCAGGATTCTTGAGCTGAAGTCGATGATGTTGGTTTGATCTCTCTTAGAACCCTGTTTTCACAACAATCCAACCGTCACTCCCCTCCAAGTGCAGGTCAAAAGGCGGGCCATTGTTGGCCTCCAACTGCGTGAGTGCCACCTTCAATGGAGCAGAATGGGACCACACAACTGGGCGACAGGAGGCTTTGAATCCCCTAGAAGTGATTTCCAATTGGCTAAATGGGCTTTATCCCCTCCACCTTTCTCCACCTTTACAGGTCTCCATGAGATGCGAAGCTTTCGAAAACTCATGCAGCTGTGGACCTCGAACCGTGGCAGAGATCATGCCTTCCGCAAGCCCAAGAGATCAGACTCCCCAGCGTTTTGCACAGTTCCAAACCATGGTTCCGATCCAACAAAGACTGACTGGTGCTCAGTAAGGAATGAGAGAATGGATCCTGAGGTATCCAGAGTGAGGGGTCATTCCCTCATTCCCTACTATATAAGTACCAGTCAGAAGAGAAGGGAGATCCTCCGTCCCCCCCGGCTCCTCTCCACATCCGCCTGGGCGGTGACCTGTGCCGCGGGCCCTGGGAAGTTGATGTCCCGGTGGTGCTTCTGCGGCTCAGAACCTGCCAGAGATGGGTCTGCAGGGCACCATCTAGAGCTCGGTTTCGGTGGAAACGGGAACCCCCTAAAGATAATTGGCTGGCACCTCTTCAAGTGTGGTGTTTGCTGATGCAAGCTGGGGTGGGTTTGCATGTCAAATGTTCGTGTGTTGAGATGTTGTTATGCTCTCATGCTGTGTGGAAAGTGGAAACAGTCAGACTGTCACTGCCAAAAAACAACAGCACAAGCACAAGTCAACTTCCATTGTCCCTGGTGGCTCACCAGTAACTCAATCATTTGATGAAGCAGTAACTCTTCACCTGCCCCATCCATCTCCGTCCCACCAACCACCACCACCCACCACCTCTACTAACATCTATATACTATATAATGGCGAGCACGTACTTCACCAGCCACTGGACCCAGCCAGCCTCCCCGCCCTCCACTCGCCTGGCGGCGTGCGGATCAAGGAGATGCGCCCGAAGAAGGGCCCTTCATCCGCCGCGGCGCCCACGTCGCTGCAACCCGCGGGCGGCGCCTCCAGCAAGGGCCCAGCTTTCGGACCCCATTCGGGCAGCCTCGGAGATCAAGAGACTCCAAAACCGTTTTGTTGCTGGACACTCATGGGTTCTCATGATCATTCCATCATCAAGAAAAAAACGCTTTGACAAAATCCCATTTCAAAAGGATGCTGTAATTCCCAACGAGCAACACCAACACAAACAAATCCTATGGCAAAATTGATGGCGTGCTCCATGCAAATGAACACCATGTCCAATTCGGTAAAAGAAGATCTCTTTTTCCGTCTGTTTGGTGGCACCTTGATGCTCACAATACGGTCAATTTTAAACGAATAACATTTGTGAAATGTTGGCCTTCTCCTTGTCCCTGCCAAATCCTCATCTCGTGCGAGCAAGGCGAAAGAGCTTGTCTATTGGTATGTGAGGCACGAGAACCAGTCCAGGCTCGCTCCAGAAGTCAGCCACTGGACCAAACCCCACTGCTGCTCCTCCTGAGAACGACGCTGCACTGGTTTCGTCGCTTTTCCGCCAACGTTCCTGGAACTAGCACTCTCACTCATTTCAAATTGGAGCAGGAGCAATAGAACCTGAAAGTTGAGAGGCTGAAGGAGGCTTTGAGTCAGAGGCCATTCCACGACACACAGTGAACCATTTCGCACCAGTACCCCTTGATTGATGTGATCCCACATTGTGCCACAAATGGTGTGGTTCTGCATTTGAAGATGCCGTGGGTTTTGTTTCCCAATTCACAAGAGAACACTGCAGGTTCTTTCCCTTTTTGCTAAGACTGGCCACGCTGGCGATGTAACCAAAGAAAATGTGTTTGCATTGCCTATTCCCATGGTCGACAATGGTGTGTAGAAGAGAATCCAGATCTATATTTGAGGTCATAGTTTTCCACAAAGGGAGGGTGTGAGCTGTGGAAAAAAAAAAAAAAGCACCGACACCGATTTCTTTGTCACCAAGATAGTCGGCTCACACAGTCCTGCACTCAAAACAGTTCCCCCTCTCTGGTTTTCCACGCAGTATGTTTCAACAAGTACTCATAACATCTCACAATGCTGGTTGTCAAACCACTCCTGCGTGCGTCCCGCCGCCAGCATATTTGTCATGTAGCCAGCCACAACCTGCACAAAACCCCACAGGGGATGTATTCTTCCTCAACAAGCAGGTTCTTGCTAGTGGCCTTGGAGGACATTCGCCAACGTTGCTGGCGCTGCAGAATCCCAAAGAACCAACAACAAAGGCCTTGCGGCAAGTGCGGGGTTTCTTGCCTTCTGCATCAACAGGTGCAAGCCAGCAGTTGGCTTTCGGAGAAAGTCCCAAGGCATAGACTGTAACCAAGGAGACAATAAACAGCTGCAATACCTATGGTTCAGACTTCTAAACAGGCCCGGTTCTCCTCGCAACCTACAAGGCCATATTGACAATACGGCCTTAACCAACCTCGCACTGGCTCGCACTGAGAATCTCCCAACCTCGCTGTCCAGTCCACTCCAGTCCGACCGACCCCGCGCAACGCGGGCGCGACGGGAAAGCGCTAAGCGGCGCCTCCAAAATGAGTTCATTCTTCCTCGGTGGAAGATATGGAGAAGTTGCGGTGAGATGTTGGGAGAATTTGGATGGATGGCAAGTATCACCAAGCAAAGTGGCACCACGGTCCGATGAACGAAACACGGAAACATCTCAGCAAACCGAAACAATCCAGGTTGGTGCTTGTCTGTTTCATCTTTGAAGCCGTACGATTGAACGAGTCGGATTACCCACTGTCTGCCTTACCTTACCGTGGGTCATGTGAGATCACATCTTGCATCATGCTACCCAACGGACCCATGACCCATGACGAGGTTTCAACTCTCCTTAAGAATCCGAGCCTTCAAATGAGAACAGCTTTGCGGGTCCGGACCCCTGCGGTTCGGTGTCGGGTCCGACCCCTGCCATCAAAAGCCCATTCGGATTCTTAGGGCTGATAGACATTGATAGACATTATGTCGCAGGCAAACCGTTCGATCTATCCCAACCATAAATTACTTATCCTCTCGAACCACTTGGCCGAGACACATGGCCATGTTTCGTTCCTCCACTCACGTTTACCCCGATCCTCCAGTCTGGAGAGGAACCAGGCGTGGTTGGGGGTCATCAAGGAGGTAGGTCCGGGGGTAGGTCAAAGAGATCTCCTCTTCTCCTTGCACCCGATCCTCCAAGCTTCAATAACCAGTCGCTGGCCCAGGGTGCTGTGAAGGCCAAGTGCCCCTCCTAGGCTGGACCAGACGCTTTAGCCGACCCGACTGAAATGGTCTTTGGTGCTGTCCCGAAAATGGGTTCATTTTCCCATCAGCACTATCCTCATGGCATTTTCTGCAACCCTCTCCAACATGAGAACCATTCATGTCAACCTGCACGATCCCCTCAACCTTCCAAGTCAGGGTAGATTCCATTGCACCATGGCAAAACCAAAGCATCAGGTTCACTTGTCAGCATCCAACTTGCTGACCTTCCCCCACAAAACCGGAACCCACGCGCGAATCCGCGCCTGTCTCCTTGCGTGCCGAGCCTCCGTTCGCCCTGCTCGCAAAGGCTGCGGGATGAGACCTTCTTGCGGAAGGTCCAAAAACCTCATGCCGGGTACTTCGTCCGTTCACAAGGTCCGCTGAGATCGCTCCTGGTTCCCAAGGCCGCTGGTGATAGGGGTTGATGATGGTTGGTCCGATGGTCCGATGTTCCGATGATGCGACGCCGATCCAATGATCGATTCTCCGATGATCCGAGGGTCCCGCTGGTCCGAGCTAGCAGGAACCAGCATCATGAAAACACGCTGTTCGTGGATGTTCATCTTACAGAGATTATGACTTGACACAGGCGTCCTGCTCGTGTTTGAAGCTCTTGTCTTCGAAAGTGAATGCCAACAACATTGAAGTACACACGACCTAGCACAAGTTCCATGTTATGCAAAAACGGTTGAACACTTCTAAAGGTTTGTGTTCTTTTGAAGGAGGGCTCCTGTTTAGGGCTTTCTTCTCTTGCGAGGCTTCTTGGTGTCAGGCAGCAACCTAGTGTTCCTGCTCATTGTGAACTGTGTGCCCTTTTTTGTTTTATGTTGTATTATTTTTGCATGTGTGTAATGCTTTTGTATTTTTTGTTGTGATTCATTAGAGTTAGCTTTAATCCAGGTCATAAACCTAGAAGATATCCCAAAATTATAAAAGTGATTAAGTCCGATCGCCGCCTCCAAAGAAGGTAGAAACATCCCCAAAAAAAAAATCCAAACAAGGAAAACCTAGCCAACAAAAGTGTGCTACTAGTACAGAAAAAGATATGCAAGAGTAGCCACACAAAAAATGCCCCACAGAACGACTAGAAAAAAACGACAGGCAAAAAAGAAGAAATGAATTTAAAAATAACGATGAACTAGAAGAAAAACATGTAAAATGTAAAACAAATATCGGTAAATGACACCAAAAAACAGAACACTTGTCTGATGATGGCGTATTCATGAATATGAAGAAATAACTTACTAGCTTGGGTTGCTGTTTCTTCCTGTCTTTTTCGACTGGCAATAGTCAGTGGTCGGTGCCTGATGTGATTTTTTGCAGGTGTTGTTGTCTTTGCCAGACAATGCTGCTTGTGAGCATTTGAATGTGCCATGCCAAGTTGTCGGCATAGCACATGCGCCGACATAATCAAGTGCAAGAATGACTACTCTGGAACAAGCAAGAACGCGGGAACCTGATCCGGAGCTTACGCTGGTGCCCGCCAGCAAGTCAGCACCACAGCATGACCCAATGCCAACATCTTACCGTGACAATATGTGTCAGCGTGGCCCGTGCCAGCGTCTCAGCGTAAAAGCAAGTCAGCGTGACAACATATTAGTTGCACACCATATCAGCATATCAGCATGACAACACCTGAGCGCTTTAGCACGACAACGTCTTAGCACCTCAGCAGCCTGACAGCATGGTAGCACGACAAAGTACCAAAAGGTTGGAATATGGACATAAAAGCGCGCACCTTACGAGCGCGATTGACTCAAGGCATGACAACGTTTCAGCACAACGACACATCAGCACCACGCCTTGCACCATGACCATGTCAGCACAACCAGCATGTCTGCACCTCTGAAGAATTGCTTTGCTCGGAACATCCTCCAGACGAACCTCCCGAACCTCCTCCCGAACTTGTTCCAGAACTTGCTCTGGCACCTCTTCCGGAACCTGCTCCAGAACCTGCTGCGGAACTGGTTCCGAACCACAAGAAAGTTGGATAGACACCGCGTGAACACGTTTACGCGCTCAGAGCGCGTTTCAGACCAACAAACAATCCCCAGAATCCGGCGGCTTTGTGGAAATGAAGAACCCACATCTGTTAATGGTGGAAAATGACGAACCAACAAGCTCACGTCTCGCAGCCAAAGCAGCGCTTGGGCCTCTGCTTCAAGCTTCCGAATCCACTCAGCGGGCAGGAGGCTTTCGAGGACCACCTTGGGACTGCGGGACACCAGGCCGCCTGGAAGGCGGCCATCATGATGGCTGGGAATGGGCTGAATGTTGGACTGTTAGACCAAAGAAGCGATGTTGTTTTCCCTAGCAGCCCTAGCACGGAAACTTGTGGCTTAAGCGCCAAACAGAAGTCCAGATTGGCCCAAGGAGCAAAGCCATTCAGCCGCATCTTCTCTAAGGCCTCCTCTGCCATGCGCTGCTGCTCCGGCTCATCGGCATCCTGAAAGCCCGCACACGGCCTCAGCGCGGGGTTTTGGGGATTCTGTGCACTGTAGATAACGAGGTCAACAGCAGTTGGTGGTTGGCGAACAGCAGTTGAAAAGGTGTAGATCTTCTGCCAGAAATGTTTCCTCCCAAAATCTTTGAGTCCTACTTTATTCTAATTCAGTCCTCAGATATCCTCATGATAGGGTCTTTCCAGAAGAAAAGCATAGCCTTTGGCACCGAGTCTGGGCGCCTCCCGCCGCTTCCGCTGCCGGGGGGCACGACGAACTGCGCCGCGGCCGGGGAACAGCAGGGCCCATGGGTGTAGAGCTTGGGGCGACGCCTCAGGTGGTCGAGGGCATCGGTCAGAGCTTCAAGTCACACGGGTGAGGGAAATGAATTCTGCATCATTCTGCCATGCAAGTCATTCACAGCAGCAGTTTGTCGTGTAAGACTGTAGGACTGTAAGACAGTTTTCATGTAGACTATAGTAATTCTCATGGGATCTTTCAAGAGGACCATTCATGGGTTCGCACTGATCTGGGACTTCAAGCGGTGGTGGGTTGGATGATGTTGGATGGGTGGAAGTGAGACCGATTGGTGCGTTGGGGGTGGAATCGGTGGTTTGAGGAGTCTTGCGGATCTTAGGGAAATTCATCACTTGCCTGATCTAGTATGCTTGGGTGCCGTTTTCCTTCTTAAAGATTCACTTTTGCTCAATTTGGTTCGTGGCTTGTCAAACCATCGCAACAGAATTCCCAGTTCTCATCTGTGTGTGTACATGTAAAGGGTGTAAAAGGTGATGCCATGCCTCACATAACTGACAGTGGCTTGCTATGGCAAATCATAGTAACCCTGTGATAGCGAATACAAGGCCAAGCAGCCCCACTTGCATGCTCTACTTGTCAACTCCTCCAGCAAGTACAGTGTTGCATCATCCTTGCCGTGGTCTATGACCCTAACCCCTCAAGCATGACCACCACCGAACACACGGTACACTATGGCACCGAAAACCCATCGGTACGATCCGAAGTGGGCTCTTCGGTCGGTCTCTTCGTCGGGCGGCGGGCTGGTTTCATTCTCTGCGCCGCCGTCGCCAAAGGGCTTCAAGCCCAACTGCTCGGCTTCCTCCGGGGACATCGTGATGCCCACCTCGTCGCCGCGGAGGGGTCAGAATATCATTGAAAATAGAGAGATGCCCTGATGCCCAAGAGATCCTGGGATGTAAAATTAGTGAAACCCTGTAAAATCTATATCAATTTTGGTGGTTCTCCTCAGTTTGAGACAAGAAGACAGCCAGAAAATCCCTGCGTCCATCTTCAAGTCGACCCAGCCTCAAAGCCAGCTTCATTGACCACCCGCCGCAAGGTCAGCGGCGCAGCGATGCTTCTGCCACAGCCTGGACTGTCCAGCGAGATCTTGCCACCGTGCGCAAGCTGGAGCAGTGGCACCCGGGAATGAGTCCATCCAGGAAGATGTTGTTGAATCCGTAAACCCTAGGTTCTAGGCTTCCAACCACCATAAATAAAAGACATCCAGGACTTCGGGTGGTTGGCTAAGCCTAGTGTAGACAAATAATGGTGTTAGTTTGATGTGCTTTACAAGTAAAAAAAATAGTCTTGCACTTCCAGGGCAAACCAAGCTCTCCCAAACTACCTTTCGCTCCCCCGGCCCAAAAGCAACACGGTGGAACGGCGCATGGACTCTCCAGGAGTTCCAGCGCATGAGCTGGCCATGTCTATATAGCGGCCGGTATGAGCCCCGGGCCAACACCAAGACCGGAACTTTGTGAAATTTTTGGGGTTCAGTGATCGGCCCCAGTCCAAGAGCCGTCAGAAATGGATCCGTGTCAAGGGTCAGAGTGGATCAAATTGGTAGTCCTGGCGGCCTGCAGCTCTCCAGGTAGGCGCAAAGGTCCTGCGATCTGATCGTTTAGAGGAAAATCCATGCAGCCATCCACTCGTGTGGAACGTTTCTCCAACAGAAATGACTGGGAAATGGATGGAAATGGTGGGGAACAGCAACTGACAGTCAGATCGACTCTTCTTATGTCACGCCGTCCGTAGCCCGCATCATACCGTTGACGGATCAAGTGGGGAAAAACGCCCTCCACAACACACGAAAATCTTCTTACTGCCGCTTTCATGCTCAGATCCATCTCATATGTGCTGCAACAACTGAAAGATGAATCATCTTGCAAGTCAAACGCAGCTGTTTCCAACTGGGGCACCTCGGGCACCTCCGTCTACATCCCAAGTCCACAGAGAAACCATGGCATCCACCCAGCTCGTGTCCTCCCGATCGCCCTCCATGGCATCATCACGGAGCAAAAGCCTCCGTCAGTCGAGCGAACCGAGCTCACCGAGCCGCTCGGCCTGACGTGGATCCCTGGTACCCGACGTCTCGATCTATCAATCGATGGTTCTTTCCCAAACACATCCCCGCAATTCTGTGAAAACAAACGAACTCTCACTACACACCCAACACTCCCAAATCATCTCAATCCCAACCAATTCCACCCACCAAAAAGACTCGCTTCCAGTGAAAGCCCACGATCAGCAGCCAGAAGTTGCGACTCACAAAAGCCCATCAGGCTCCGACACACTTGCCGAGGTATTTCACGGATGTCCCGTGGTGGCGGTTTTCCGGGCTCTAAACATCCTTGGGGTTGTCGTTGACAGAGCCCTATGGGCATCTGTGCCGATGTCGACCACAAATACGGTTCCTCTGGTCGACCCACTTTAAAACATATTGACTTCCTCGCCCAAACATCACTGTGAAGTTGAATTCCGTTGACCCTTGAAGACAGCGAGCCCGACATAACCCTCACATTGAGCACTTTTCTACCAAAGTTCTGATCGAAGGCTCCTCTTCCTCGGAACCACTTTGCAGGACCTCTCCCCACCCTTCAGAACAGCGCGCCTGCGCAAGCCAGGCGCCACTTCCAGCCGCCTGGCGACGTTTTTCGGTGCAGACTCCAAGACTGGTCGAGACCAACGTCTGAGATGTTCCATGCTTGGAGTCTCAACCAGAAACATAGAATATCTCAGGGCTTGGTCATAGGAGATAGTCCAACCCCTGAGATATTCCATGGAGTTGGATAGGTTCTGTTTTTTTCATTTTGGTTCGAACCCCTGAGATCTCCGACGTGGATGTGACACGGGGGGTCCCAGGACTTCAAGGTCCGACAAGGACTTCAAGGAAGTGCTGGAACGGGTCTCAGGCATGTCTCAAGATGTTCTGGACCAGGACTTCAAGAAAGACACCCAAGGTCTATTGGACAGGGACTCATTCAACCATGGAATTTGGACTTCTCCAAGCTTGCCAGGTGTATTCTTGTGCAAGAAAGACATGGGCTGCCAAGACACATTCAATTGTGTTGGCTAAGTGGTTGGCTAAAGGAGTGTGGATTCGCAGTTCAGTGGATTCTACATTGCACACCGGACCCCCGCGGGTCAGCATCCAGGTCAGCTGAGTCAGCCAAACGAATCCAAGTCGCGCTCCGAACGAATCCAAAGAGGTATGGCAGTGAGGTCAAATGAACAGATTCCTCTATCTTCGGGATGTCAGCCTTCCATGGTTTGGGCAAGGTTTTGATCCTCCGTATGGCATCACAGCGGCATCTTGATCATCCCCGGACGTGTTCATCGGATCTGAACCCCAAAGAAGAACGCCAGCAGGATCTGGTGGCCTTGGTTTTTTCGACTTCAAGCAGCCATAGGGTCTCGGTACATAGCCTCCATGTACCGAATGGTTCAGTGAGAGACTGGGGGCCTTAAGAATCAAAGCCCCCTCAGCATCGAAGCCTCCTCTTCTCGCCAGCCGGACTGCCCCACCGAGAGAAGAGGACCGGAGGGCTTTGCGCAGTCCGACGGCAGCGTTGAACATGGCTGGGCGGTTGTTCAGGCAGTCGTGATCACCAAGAAACGCTCACTCAGCCAGTCAGTTGTTCAGGCTGTTCATCTTCATGTTCAGGTCTTCCAGGGGGGTTCACCAGCCCACCTGTTTTCACTGCCATTTCACAGGATCGCAGCTTAGGATCCAACCCTCCACAAGCTGTGGGCCTGACACTAGCATTACAGACCATAACAGAGTACCCCCCAAAAAAAGCGTGATTGCTGCTTCGTGGGGAATCTCAGGCATGATTGTACCTTCTTGCCCTTTCTTGATCAAAGGCCTTCGTGGGATGGCCAAAGGGGTCAAAGCGTAAACTTGTCGGTGCGGTTCTCTGGTCCTTCGCCAGCCTGATGCTTGTGTTGCTGGCGCTCATTCTTCGCGTCTGTCGCGTCTGTCGCTGTCAAACAGCTGCATGGTCATGCATGGTGTCAGTCTTATCAAGTCGTAGCAAAGCCTCATTCCGAAGACATCCAGTTTCCATAGTCTGAAATCGGGATTCAGTGAAGGCTCTGCTGTAGTAAAGGCGTCCCACAATGGAACTACTCTTTCGAAAAGAAAAGAAAGCATATTGTCACAAATAAATAAGGAACCTTAGATCCAAACATCTCCTTTGGGATAGACTTTGTCAGGCGTTCCCTATAACTCTTGGCGGGTGACACGCCGGCGACGCCGAGACGGGCTGGTCCTGCACTTGGACATTCCTGAGCTCTGTCTCCACCGGAGCCGGCGTTCTGCACCCGAAAACAACAAACCGGAAGGGCTGAGGAACTTCTTGTTGCTCCATGGGAAACAGACCAAAAGATTCTGGAAAGAATCGCTCGCCCCTGTCGGGAAGTTTTGACTTTGCCTATAGAGCAATATATCACCAGAATGTCCGTTCTTTCCGGCATGGCCTTGTTGATCTCGCAGTTGGTCTCTTCGACCAGGGCTAGAAACAACTGTGGGTCTGAAAGGAGTCCCCCACCGCGCCGGCGTTTCCCTGAGTGTCTGGCCGCACAGGCCGCTTGTTGGGGTCTAAGAAGCAACGCCATCCTTGGCATCGAGAGGTAGGAGGTTGAGTTGAATGGCTCGACGTGCTATTTGCAATTGCAGGCATTCCCAAGTTCAATCACTAGGGGTGAAAACCCATGAGAATCCTGCGCCTCCGGCACAACATGACCATGACACGGAAAGCACAAAAAAACTGCAAGAGGCATGGCCCCTGATGTGGGCGCGCGCCACCATACACTTACATGTAACCAAGCTAGTAGACCTACTGATTTGGTACGGGACGCTTCGTCGATAGGTCCTGAATGACCCTGAAACCGCTTGGGGAAGTTGACCAAATTGCTAGTGTGAACTCTCACACTTCCTCAGCGGTTTCCTTTGGCGCACCCCCACCCATGGGCCAAACCTTTATGCTTCGTTCGCGGAGAATCAGCCGAATCAGCCGCTTCCCAGAGCTCCGTCCGACTGCAGAAGAAGACCCAGGGGCTTCGCTTGGACCAGTGGGGAGGTCAAGCGAGCGCCCCTGTGGCGCTCGCTTACACCCGATGACCTGGAGCTTACCCCTCCAACGGTTCAAGCATGTAAAACAAACAACAATGACCGCCTACTCCAGAGAAATAAATATTTCAGAAGACCTTATCCCACAGAGAGATGATGTCAAGATAATTCAAGATGTATGGCAAGGTTGAACCCAACACAAACCCCCCAAATCACACCGAACACTCGCCCCTTTCCGACCAATGGGGTCCTGAGGTCCTGAGGTCCTGCACACGATCGGTTTCATCCAACGACAAGCCACGCTCCAAGATCAGCTGCAAGAGGAGCCGGTCTTTGCATCCTTCTCGGACCTTCGCCTGGCCCAGGTCTGAGCCCCAGGAGCGGAGCCGACGGTTCCGGCCCCTTCGGCCATGGAGGTGGAAGGCGGCCTATCACTAAGGTGAGCTTGTCAGAAGTGATGTGTAAGTATTGGATGATATAGTCTTTGCATGCAGGTGCAGTTTTGCTAGGGGCTTCCTAGACTGCAGCTTTGTTCAACTGGTGATACAAACACATCTCTGAAGCCTTTCCTCATCCCTCCGACTGGACACAACCGACCGACCGAATCGACCGAATCCAACGTCCGCAAGACGTCCTGCGGATCGACCACCCTGGGTCCGTCGATTCTGCTCACTGTTCGTCGAGGAAACGTCTCCCACTCACGTTCGCATGGAAGAAGATGGAAGAAGATGTTCACCCCCTGTTCGCCATATAAGGCTCTCTTCCTCACGGGGCCATGCCATCCACTTCTATGTGATGTGTTTGTCAGAGTGTACCAGCATCTCACCCACTCGATGCAGCTGAATGTGAACGTGTGACTGTGAACGTGTGACGGCTACCACTGGAGCTTAGGGGAAGGAATGGCGTCATTCTCCAGATACGATGCGTAAGGACCTTAGGATACCTCTCAATCCATTCCCTCATTTCTGAGTTAGCAGCAGTCAGGCCCACCGTCAGAACAGGTGTCTTTTTGCAAGAAATACCTGCAGACCGTACTCTTACTAGCTAGCATCCTAGAACTGCGAAACCAGGGGTAGAACCTTGCAATGAAAACGAACACTTCCTTAGACTTAGACGTATCTCCACAAAATCCCATGTTACCTTCTCAGCCTCCCAACGTGAGATGTCGGCGCCGGTTCACCTCGGCGCTTCTCCATCCGGACTCCCGGAACCGCTCCGGGTCCCGCGCCTCCCGAACAGCCGAGTCCTTGAGCACTCCACCTGGCTCCGTCGGACCCGAAGGGAAACGCCCCGAGGGTCAGTCGGTCTGGCCTCGAAGGGTCCGACCGGTCGGTCGGGTTGGTGGGGAAGACGCCGCTGGTGCAGCTGGTGCGCCAGAAAGAGTGGCTACTGGAAGATCCCCCAAGAAAAATTCCAGCTCATGTGATACTGCAAAGAGTTAAGACGAGTAGAAGATCGCACCATCGACCAACACAAACCAACAAAAACACCCCGGCAGTCACTCCGGTGTCACTGCCGGGGGTTCCCAGGTTTGAACTGCGTCCGGGCGTGTCCTGGGGCATCCGAGCGGTACTTCCAGAGTTGCTCGGCATGGTCTGCACGCTCCCGATGAATCCTCTCAGTTTGAGGGCGAGGGAAACGGAGAACAACAGCTCATGAGGAGGGCAACCTCCAGGATTGCTTCATGGGACAGAAAGCATCGCCAAAAGCGATCAGCTTAGCCCTGCCAACAAATGGGTGAAGCACTTCTGATGTCGAATGAGAGGATGAGCAGAAAAGCATGTTCTGAAGCTCTGCATCTCATCTCCAACCCCCAAAAGCTCTATTCTCAATCACCCCAAAAATCAAAAAAATCCCGGAACTCCTGTGCACGTCTTGCTGCTGCCGCAGAACCTCTTCCCACCTCGCTCATGAGGCCATGCCACAGATGTCAAAAAAGAACGTCAAGAAAGACCACAGACAATCTGGGTATCGCCTCAAACTGAAGAAAACGCCCAACTAAAGCACTCATAGACCTCCATGGTTCTATGCCTCTAACATAAATATTTCCTTGAGGTGCTGGTCCCCCACTCTCTCACTCCCTGTTCCTTCCACGTCTTCACGTCTGTTCTCATCCCTCTTGGTCGCCGCGCAACCGAAAAGCGTCGCGCAGCCTGTGGCGAAGGTTGGCATGAGGTTCACCCAGGTCGCTTGGTCGGCGGCTGTGACCAAGCAATCCGGGCTGCGTCCACCCACGTGGTCTTTGGCTTCCTTTCGACCCACTCAGTGGCTTGCACCATGCTTGCGCCTACGTGGGAAAAACGATGGACCCAGAAAGTGTCAGTTTTTGGGCGGCTGATCTTGTGGATGTATTGGGGTGTGAAAAAATAGGGAGACCCTTCACAGACCGAGAAAAATCAGCCGACAAAATCCATTGGGCCAGGAAGGTCCCCTATCAAAATAAAACCCATTATGTATATACATGGCTGTGGGTCATGTCATACTCGAAGCCCAGAACTCACCCGGAAGTACGTTCACCATGTTTGGTATCGTCCATGCCATGGACTCTTCGTGATCAAAACCAGGTTTCACCGAGGTGCCATGACTCCTCGAGCCCCACGCGCGTGGCGCGCAGCTGGGCCGCTGGGCCTGCTGGTGGAGGAGACTTTCGCCATCTGGGAGCCCAAGCCATGCGCCTGCAGAAGACATGCCATGTGTACACCGCCTGATGCCAACGCAGGCAGGTGATTCACCGGTGCCTTGGGATGGAGGCAGGTGCGCAACAGACGCCCAAAGCAATAGCGAGGACAGGTCCAAAGAAATCAAACACCACAGCCGCCACGGCGCCACTGGTCGCTTCCCGTGGCGCATCGCCCACCGCCTTCTGCCGCAGCTTCCAGCGCTGCTCACTCCTGCGGGCGCCCAGATCCGCCTGGGAGCGCCAAAACCCGAAGGCCCGAAAAAGGAAGGACAAACCTGCGCTGAACCGAGCCAGGCAAGTGAGAATCATCTGGGTGCAGCGCCCAAGTCTCTTTTTAGAAAGAGGGCAAATGCCAACCCTTGGGCAGCCCACCTCCACCGGTCATGCCCAGCGTGGGGCAGTGTTCATCCCACTTGGGGCAAGTTGTTCACTGCCGAGGGAACCGATCCTGTCCAAATCGAACGGGATGAAGGTGCAGGAATTGGTCGCCAACGCTCCCAACAGGTCACCAACGCTGCCAACACACCTGGGGATGAGTCAAAACCTGTTGGTTTCATTTGGATTTGGTTGTATCAATCTATTGGGAGCCCCAATAAGCAAACGACTAGTTGAATGGGTTGGTCGTCCATACTTACATCGATGCGAAGAATTCATGCGCGAGATGAACTTATTTTGTTCTATTCCGAAGACTAACATAGACCATGTCAATTCGTCCTCCAGAGTGTACTGCTTTACCATCCACAGTAAATAACCATCTGGATGCATGTAGGCTACTGCCCAGTCCGTCTCTCCCAAGCGCGCCGAACGTCGCGTGCCTCCATCCACC